AAAAAAAAAAAAAAAAAAAAAAAAAACCTTACTCAACGTTCACCATCCTTGTAGAACACAAGGCAAAACATCATGTTATTGCAAAGAACTTTGAAGTGCTCCCGAGCTCGAATCTTCACTTCTACTAACCTGCAAAGCCCTAAGGTTGATACTCAGGTAAACACTTTGATGTCTAAATTAGCAATAATCAAAACTCCCAGATGTGGAGCAACCAAATTCGAGGTCGATTTCTGTTAGCTTTATCTTTATAATTTATCACATTGTTAGTCCTACGTGTTAAGATATTTAACATGTCATTTAATTTCTGTTAAGTAACGGTTCACATAAGTCGATTTTTAATGGAAGGACCAAGTTGGGGTTAAAATGGTAAACAATAGGGATCAAATCAGGAATTTTTTTAATTTAAGGACCAAATTGGGGGTCCGTATAATAGTTGAGGGACCAAAATACGATTTTAACCAAAAAATAATACAAAAAAATTATCTCAAAATCATTTTCCCTCATTAATGAAGGAAAAAAAAACAAACAGGAAGGTGATATTTTCTGACGTCATCCTTGACAAAAAGGTTGATAGGCAGATTTTGATTAATAAAGGGGTTCATTGGCCCTACTTTTAAGTAGGGGGGCTCAAAGTGTGACCAAACTGTGAGGTCATAAGCATGGAGTTGTTAATCATGCAAGCTGATTTGCGTCTTCCAAAAGGTTACATGGCTATTTTTGGGCAAAAGCATAGTTTTAGCCCATCACTTTATTAAGTTTGAAGGTTTTAGCATCTCATATTATACTTTTAGCATCTCATCTTACTTGGATTTGTAGGTTTTAATCCCTTACCTTACTAGATTTGTAGGTTTTAGCCACTCACATTATATTATAACACTTTTACCCCTCACTTATTAAAATTGAAAAAAATAACTCTCACTTTGTAACATTTTGTTAATTCTATTAACTGACTGTTAACTCTATTATCTGACTGTTAGTTGACTGTTAACTGATAAAAACCGTCTTTTAACTAATATAATTAACAGAACTAACTCTATAATATTTCATTAATTTTATTAATTGACTATTAGTTAACTGTTAGTTGATAAAAACTAACTTTTAGCTAATAGAGTTAACAATTAATATAAAGTGAGGGCTATTTTTTTTCGATTTTAATAAGTGAGGAATTAAAACCTGTAAATCTAGTAAAGCAAAGGGTTAAAAGTGTTATAGTATAAGGTGAGGGGCTAAAACTTTCAAATTTGGTAAGATGAAGGGCTAAAACTAGGTTTTTGCTGCTATTTTACATGATTCAAAGGGTTTGAAGGTTTATTGCATTGTTTTTAGTTCGTAGGCTTAAGTGATAATATGGGTAAGTTTGAAGACTTAAGAGAGGGTTTTGCCTAAAGTTTGCTTCCCTTCCTGATGGCAAGCACATCACGGGAAGTGCTGGTTCTTGTAGCAAATCTAAAAATGAGAATCCACTCAACTTCCCTGCACCTCTATGCCACTGGTGCGAACAAGCCTACACCCTTTTTCGAAAAGCCTTCCTTCATCTACTCCCCTGTTCTTAAACATGGCTTCATTTTTGGCCAGCTATGGGGGGCAGGTTATTGAAAACCATATTGCCTTCCATCCGCTTCTTGTACCTGCACATTTGAATAGTTCTCCATGTGTTGGACAACGGCGTCCCAGCAACATCCCGCAAGAGCACTTGCTATTCTCCACCTGTTGAAACATTTTGACCATAGCTTAAAAGCAACTTAACAGTTGTCCCGTTCTTAATTTTAAAAAGATAATAAATGTTACTATTTTAATATTTTTTATGAAATAAAAAAAATTAGGGTTTTTGATTTATTTGTGAGTCTATAAAAATGAAAAATAAATTTTAATTATTATAATAAATGAAAATCTTGATAATTATAAATGAATAAAGTGAGAAACCTAAATCATATTAGAGGGAATACCTACCTAGATTGATCATAAATATAATTGACTTGTCGAAATACTTGTACTGGAATGGCTGATTTTAAGTTCTTTTTTTCTCCTTCTTATTGAGAATCCAGATATTTGTTATGATCTACTTCAGCGTGACCCAAGCTTGACTGTTGTTGCAAATGAGGAAATGCACGGGGAGTCTCCTATTCTTACGTTGTCCAGTCAACCTTCTGCATTTTTTAGTGGAAGTACACTTTCGTTTTGGCAAAAATGGATTTATCATTGTTAGTATCTATACATTTTTATTTAATTTTTAAATTTTATTGTTGTGTGACTATATATATGGAATTAATTGACTTCTCTACCGTAAGAGCAGATATAATGGTATTATCTTTTAATATTCTTAAAAAAGAAAAAAAAAGAAAAAAAAAAACTCTTCTCTACCAGAAGACAGTTCTCAAATAAAGTTTGTCCTCTGCAAAGAACAAACTCTTTTTTAATTTTGCAACTTAAAAAATATACTGTAGCACTGCACATACCAGGCGCTAGAGCATGAAATGCACATGTGCAACTTTTTGTTTTGATCCAATAACTTAAATATATTTTTTAAAATTTTAATTTTAATTTTTTACCAGAATATATATGTTGTAGGTTAAATAATATAATATTAATGT